CCTTATTAAACTTCATCCTATTTACCTCAGACCATTTCTCCAGTTTGTCCAGATCATTATGAATTATGACCCTATTCTCCAAAGCACTTGCAAACTCTCCCAGCTTGGTATCATCTGCAAACTTAATAATCATACTCTCTATGCCATCATCTAAATAGTTGCTGGAGATATTGAACAGAACTGGACCCCAAACAGATCACTGTGGTACCTCACTTGTTACACCCTTTCAGCATTATTGGGAACTGTTAATAACTACTCTGTGAGAACAGTTATCCAGCCAGTAATGCACCCACCTTATAGTAGCCCCATCTAAGTTGTATTTCCCTAGTTTATTGATAAGAAGATCATGCAAAACTCTATAAAATGCTTTAGTAAAGTCTAAGTTTACCTTGTGCACTGCTTCTTCCTTAGCCACAAGATTTGTTATCCTACCAAGTAAAGCTATCAGATTGGTTTAACATGATATGTTCTTTACAAATCCATGTTGGCTGTTATCTATCACCTTATTATCTCCCAGATATTTGCAGATGGATTCCTTAATTACTTGCTCCATTATCTTCCCTGGCACAGAAGTTAAACTGACTGGTTTGTAGTTTCCAGGGTTGTTCTTATATCCCTTTTTATAGATGGGCACTATATTTTCCCCTTTTCGAGTCTTCTGGAATCTCTCCCAACCTTCCATGACTTTTCAAAGATGATAGCTTAAGGCTCAGATACCTCCTTTATCAGCGCCTTGAGTATTCTAGGACACATTTCATAAGGCCCTGGTGACTTGAAAACATTTAACTTTTCTAAGTAATTTTTAACCTGTTTCTTTGTATTTTAACTTCTCAACCTACCCCATTACCACTAGCATTCACTATGTTAGGCATCTCGTTATCATCAAACTTCTTGGTGAAAATCAAAACAAAGAAGTCATTAGGCACCTCTGTCATTTCCCATTTTCCTGTTATTGTTTCTCCCTATTTACTGAGCAATGGGCCTACCCTATTCTTGGTCTTCCTCTTGCTTCTAATATATTTGTAGAATGTCTTTTTGTTACCCTTTATGTCAGTAGCTAGAGCGAACTCTTTTTGTACCTTTGCCTTTCTAATCTTGTCCCTGTGGTGTTGGCTTATATTCATCCTTTGTAATTTGACCTTGTTTCCACTTATTGTATGACTCCTTTTTGGGTATGTCTACACTACCCCGCTAGTTCGAACTTTTGCAAATTGCAAATGAAGCCTGGGATTTGAATTTCCCGGGCTTCATTTGCATAAGCGGGGCGCCGCCATTTTTAAATCCCCGCTCGTTCGAACCCCGTGCCGCGCGGCTACACGCGGCACAAACTAGGTAGTTCGAACTAGGCTTCCTAGTTCGAACTACCGTTACTCCTCGTGTCAGCAGTTCTGCAAATCAGACCCAAGGGTTTCAGGTCACATACCCAGAAAATGGGGAAACACAGTGAGTTATATGGCACTAGAGGTGAACTGGATGCTTTGGCAAAGGAGCTGTAAGACTCGTGAATTTTGTGTTCCATTCCAGGCTCTGGAGAAGGGTTTGCTCACTTCTTTCCACCAAGCTCCACCTATTTTTTTCTATCCTCTTTAATCTGCCTCTTGTCTCAGTTTCATTTGTACCCCACTGTGAGCTCCTTGTTCCAATCTCCTCGGGCTTCAGAGCCTGGTCCCAGTTCCTTGTCCAGTAAATCCTTCTTCACCACATTTTATTCCCAGCTCTCCCCAACTCCCAGCTTGTCCCGAGTCTCCTTTCCCAGTCAGTACTACTTCCTTCACCCATTTCCCAATATGTCCCTCCCTTTTCCTGTCCTCCAGCTGCACCTCCCCCCCCCCACACATTTCCTTACTCCACTGACTCCCAGACCCAGTCTTCACCACACTTCTCCTCCAATCTCAGTATCGTTGTCTCCTCTGGCTCCTTGTCCCAGAACTCTTTGCACAGACAGTTCCAATGCTCTCCCCACCCTCCATCTCCTCGCTCCTGCCCCGCAGACTCCCAGTCCCAGTCTCCTTGCCTTGCCAGTCACAGTCTCCACCTGGCTCCTCCTCAGATTCAGTCCCCCCCTCCATTGTCTAAATCTGTTTCTTTTCCTGGCTTCCAGACTAAGGCTATGTCTAGACTGCAAGCCTCTTTCGAAAGAGGCTCTTTCGAAAGATACTTTCGAAAG